TAAACAACTGTAGACAACTGAGATAGTGTGGGATGAGGGTTGGGAATGGAAGAGGATGAGAAATAGGGGGAGATATATATATATATCTGAAACTAGAAATGGAAAATTATTGACAATAACATGTATGATTAAGCCACTATGCAGTATATTCTGGATGGGAAATCACATTTTGTATTCTGTGATAATGCACAGTGAATAAATGTAAATTAATTAATTAGTTAAAAATTAAAATAATTTTTTTTAATTGATGAGAGAGAAAAACTGAGAAAGCAAGCTACCAGGCATGGGACTCAAACTGTGGTCAACCATGTGGGGATCCAGTGCCGTTAACCACCACGCCACCTGCCAGACCTTGGAATCAACTTTTTAAACTCTTGTTGATCTAGATGTTTTCATTTCCTGGTATGTTCTCAAGGCATCTAGTATGGTAAATACTTTCTAAAAGGTTTTCAGTATACTTTTCCCATACCTTTCAGATTAGATCACTTTCTATGATGGCTACAGTGTTTAATGGATTTCTCAAATAATAGGACTTGAAAGTCAAAATAACTCCTTGCTCCATGGGCTGCAGAATAAATGTGATATAAGCAGTCATGAAAACAATGTGACCCAAATCAGCATATTGTCAATGAGCACTATTATGTTGAAGCCTTTTTTCTTTTTTGAACCTTAGTGTTTAACAGTAGACTAAAACTATTCAGTATATTATTCTGTAAATCAATATACCATCATTTGGGCTTTGTTCTTCCGTTATATAGTACAGGCTGAAGAGATTTAACATAATTCTTTTTTTTTTTTTTTTGGAGAGGTTTTTGCCATAGGGCAGGTATGCTCGCCAGAAAGACAGAGACAGAGAGACAGAAAGCGAGAAATCACCCCCAAGGGGGGATGGTCATGCCGCAATCCCTTCTCCATTCTCCTCTCTGGATCTTGGGCATGTACGCACACGCGCCTGGTGTGAGTTTAAGCCACCAGGTCTGGGACTCGAACTGCGTGCGGTCTACTACATGGGAGTCCAGTGACATAGCCATTACGTTAACTGCTGGTCCCTGAGACTTAACATAATTCTTATGGACCTTAGAATTTAGGGAATGGTAAATGAACACTGGCTTTAATGTCAAGCCCCCAGTTGTGTTAGCACCTAACACAAGTGTCAACCTGTCCTTGGAATTTTGAGGCCAGGCAGCAACTTCTCTTTAGTTTCAAAGACATAGATGGTATCTTCTCTCCAATAGATGGCTGATTCATCTACTGAAAACCTTTCGTTGAGTGTATCTGGCATTACACCTTTGATCTTCTATCCTGACCACTGAAATTTACTCCATATCAGCAGTGGCCTGTTTTATTTCTTAAGTTTGTGTTCGTTGGGGTAGAAGTTTTTGCCCCTTGATTTATGACAGTGAATGTGCCTGTACATGAAAGAGAGAGAGAGAGAGGTACCCTCCACATCTGGCCATGCTAAGACACGCTTTCTCTAATCATTCACCCCATCAGGTCTGGGGCACTTGCATACACGCCTGCCATGCTCCCAGACAGTCAGCCAGGGAATCAAAAAATGCTAGTCATGTGGGATCTGGCTTCTTTCGAGTGGTATATTAACTCTACACCATAATAGCACTTTTATTTTCCTTTAGGAAAGTTCCCTTTGCATTCACAACTTGGATACTATTTGGTGCGACAGGCCTAGCTTTTGGACTACATCAGTCTGTGACATGCCTACCTCAACAAGCTTAATTATTCCAGGCTTTTGATTTAGAGTGAGAGATGTGTGAATCTTTCTTTCACATGAACACTTAGTGGCCATTGTAGGCTTATTATTTGGCCTAATTTCAGTATTGTTGTATGTCAAGGATTGGGGAGACCCAAGGAGAGGGAGAGAGATGGGAACTGGCTGGTTGGTGGAGAAGTCAGAACACACACATTATTTATCGATCACATGCTCGGTCTTGTATGGGCACAATTTGTGATGTCTCAAAACAATTACAGTAGGGACAGCAGAGAGCAATGACTACAGATCACCACAACAAATAGAGGAATAATTACGTTTGAAAAATTGTGAGAATTCTCCAACTGTGACACAGATCCATAAGGTGAGCGTGTGCTGTTGAATTATAGCGCGGATAGATTTGGACTCAGGGTTGCCACAAACACAGGATTTACAAACTGCAATAAATTGAGATTTGTCATAATCTGCATGTTGCCTATTTACACACTTGCACTAAAATAACTATAAAGTAACACGTATGTCTGTGCACCCATAGATGCATTTTT